GCTTTACTCATTTCTCAGCATATCTCTTAAGGATTACTTTCTTTTAAAATATGTATGTTTGAGCAAATCTAACAAGATCGTAAAATTCAGAGCAGAAAGCCTTAGTTTTTATAGCTTAATTGATAGTAGTTATGGAGTGGACCAGCTAAGAAATAAACAATATTTAACTTAAATTTTATATCAGTGAAAATGTAAAAATGAATCTAGGTTCAAAAGAGGGGCTTTTGTGTTTTAAAAATAAAATAATTCTGAAATCTAAAGCAATTTGGAGCAGATTTTTACAATTAATGCAATCAAAATTTAAATTCCATTTAAATTTTTTCTGGTCTGGAAGAAAAGGTGAAAGATAGAAGAAGGAAGCATGTCTGTATTATTCTACTTTTTGCTTAGCAAACAGTATACAAGGAAATTTTATTTGCTATTCAAATTTAAGCCCAAGAATAATACACTTGGCTTTTGTCCAATTTTAAAGAAGTAGCATATTCTGTGATAATAAAGAGAAAGAAGAAAAGGGACCTTAGAGAATAGAATCATATCTGAGGATGAATTAATGAATGGATACAACTGTAATCTTCCCTCCCAAACCTGGCCCTCCAGCAGAGGTGTTTGCCATCTTGGGCACCAGTGGGCACCATTGGCTGCTTTGCTTTGGGGTTAGACATCTGGGAGCCATCGTGACATCTCCCTCACAATCATTCTGAACCAGGTTCTGTTGATTTTACCTTCCAGACAGATACATTTCCAGTTCATTCTCACTACATCTCTACTACAGCTCCCACCGTGGGTCTCACTCCTGCTCCTGAAGCATCCTCCTACCTGTTGCTTTTGCACCCACTGTTCCACACACTCCCTTCCAAACCCTACAGTGTGGTTATGGTGAACTTTAAAAAAATAAAACAAAACAAATCTAATTATGTTCTTCCCATGCTTAAAATGGTGCTTTTCAAATGAAACCCTAAATCCTTAACTGGCTTACAAGACCCTATATGATGTAGCTTCTGCCTACCTCTCTAGCTTTTAAATGAGCTGTATTATTTAGGATTAGGCTTACCAGTAGTGGCAATACATCAAAAATAACAGTGGTTTTAATATGACAGGTGTTTATTTGTCTCTTGTGTATGTAGGCAATCCAGGGACTGGTATGGCAGCTTCACAGTCCTCCAGGATCTAGGCTGCTTTGATCTTGATGCTTTCCCAACCTCATCACACAGCTTCCAGCTCATGGTCTGAGATGGCTGTTCCAACTACACCATCACACTGGCATTCCATCCAGCCAAGAAGAAAGTAGAAAGGGAAAGAAATGGCTAGTCCCCTCACTTCAAGAACATTTTCCAGAGATGCCCACACAACTCCCACTAGTCACAATCCTCTGGGCTGTACCTAGCTGCAGAGAAGGCTATTCTGGGCAGCCATGTGCCCATATGCCCAGTTAAAATCTAGAGCATTATTGAGGGAAAAAGGAGATACATTTGGGGACCACTTTGCAGTCTCTCTCACAAGAGCTAAATCCTCATCTTCCAGAGTAGGTGAGTCAAAAATGTCTGAAATAGAAAAATCAGTTACATATAGTAGGCTTCAAAAATAGGATAAAAAGCAATCAAGTAAGGCCCAAAGCAAAAGTCATCGGCAGCTTTTACATATATTTAACAAAGTAGCTGGGTCCTCAACAAAGAAAGAAAATTAAGGTAGAATTGAATAAGCATATTATTAGAAATATGGAAGCAAACACTAGAGGAAATGGCTAAACTGATTGAAAGTGGTTGACTTGGAGGCAAGAATAGGGGACTGGGTTTTACATATTAAGTCTTCCAGTACTATGTGACTTTTTCCACAAAGAACATATATATTTTGATAAAAATTACATTTGAAAGAGCTTTTCAAAGCATTGACTGAGGTTAGGTCTGTGGGTATACAAGTATTTAAGGACTGAGAAGGACTGGGTGAGTTTTCTCTGCAGAGCCCTTGGGTTTGTGTCTTTATTTCCCACCTTGCCAACCATCTTTGAGTCTTTGGTATTTTATGCAGAGGTGATGTTATATGCATGAATATTGTCAAGGGTTGGAGGATCATAAGGATCAGGTTCAAGACAGTTGGACACAGGCAGTTCCCCTGTTATACTTCTCACTGTATAACAGAGATGAAAAAAGATTACTCAAAGCAACATGAAAGCAATGAGGAGCCTGAAGGGACTTCACCTCAGCAATTCCTCTGTTAGAAGGAGAAAACTGGGTGCAGCCCCAATTCAAAGTTAGCTTCTGTTTTTTATTGTAAAGACAAGGAAGTTTCACAAGAAAAATCAGTTGATTCAGTCATTTCAAAAGGACACAAAGACATGGGCAGTGTGACAAAAGTTATCTATACCTAACTATGGCTTAAACAATGGAAACGAGTAACGTCAGTAAAATTAACAACATAAAGTTCTAAAGTACAATTTGTGAAAAGCTAAGTTGGTCAAACTGCGATCATTATCTAAAATATAACCTCTCCTCAGATGATTTAAGCAAAAGTTACATTCTTATGATTAAATCTAAGTGTAATTGTCTCTAAAATTTCCACCAACAGACAGCTTGCCCTTAGCAAACATTTTTTCACATTTTTCCCTACAGCAGTTCTTTAAAATGTCTTAACAGGATTGCTATATCAACCACCTGTTAGCTTTAAAATCATTAAAGTATACAGTGCCATACTTGAACAGTGATTACAGCTGATTAGATGGGCTGTTGCCATTCTGTGAACTTTTGCCCCTTAGCCAAGGGCTTTTACCCCATATGTGCATTACCTAAAAACCCTATTCTAAAAATCAGCTGGGAATCAACATATACTTGATTAGAATTGATTAGATGGGCTTTTGCCCTGCTGTCTGTGGACTTTTGCCCCCTAAATTGAGGGCTTTTGCCCCATTCGTGCATTACCTAAAAACCCTACTCTAAAAATCAACCGAGAGTCAAGATTTCTAACCCTCTACATTCCCCATTTTTCTGTTATTAAATTAGGATTACTCATGGGTTATAAAATATTGATGAGGCATTAAATGTCTCTGACTTATACATCTTGTCTTATTTTTCTGAGCTGGGCTGATTTACAATGAGCATGTTCAGGAAAAATTTTTCTAATTAGCAGCAGCACGCATCACTTAATGTCCCTTTCATCCATGGGTGTTTTGTGACAATGAGTGTAGACACCTTAAACTGCAACCTGCAGGAGATTGCTTAATCAAAATATGCAGACACTGAGGCCCAGAACAAGAGGAAGGAGAGAAATGGAATCTGAGGTTGTGGAATCCCAGAAACTAGAAAGATAATTCTCTGCTGATCAAAAAGAAAAAAGAAAAGAAATTTTATTTCATCCAAATGAAATGTTCTAAGACTTAAGAAATGATTACCTGTTTTTCATGAAAAATACATAAAATCTTACAATTGCAAGCCTTAATAGGTTTTGTTTGTTAGATATTAGGCCAAGAGGAATTGTTGATAATGAGAGACAAAGGCCTGAAAAGGAAAACAATCATTGGACTCATATTTAATCACTTTATATTTTCTCAGATCTCTGTCATGTCATTATCTGGCTTTGGTGCTTACATAACTTAATTAGACTAGGGGGGCACAATGGAAGCGTAACAATTTAAATGGGTTGCCTGCAGATGTGTGATATGGATAGAAATGAAACCTATTAAAAACCAAATTCTAAAAGAAGCTCTTGACATTGATCATTTGTGAAAAGGAGATTTTTTTTTTTTCTTACCCACATACATGGTTTTGTACACTTGTCTACAAACCTTAAGCATTGGTACATCTGATCATCAGCTTGTGGAATCACTAACATCAGGCCACTTTGAAAGACCAGACAAGGTTATTAACTTTGGTAGGAAATGAAAATTTGGCCTTAATGTACATGTGAAATTGAATTGTCTGTAGCATAAAGCTTTGGAGATTACCCATGCAAAATGAGAAAACTATCTAAATTTAAAATTGTCTTCAGTACAGTGAAAAGTAATTTTGTAGGCTGCATTTTTACTGCATTGAAATCCATGAAGAGATTGGCTCTATTAATTTAGATTTAAACAGAGGCTGTGTGTCTTCTAAAAACGGTAAATGAGATGGAAAATGTACTTTAAGGGGAAAATGAGTTTCTGGAAATGCTGCAGGCAGGCAGGCTCCCTCCTCCACATCTTTGAGTCTTCCCTGAGACCAGCTGGCTTCAGAGGGAAGGCTCTATCTACTGTGACAGGCATTTAGAATAAGGACATGCCGACAACGCCTCAATTACACATAGCAGGCTTCAAAAGCCAGGATAAAAAGCAATCGAGTAAGGCCCAAAGCAAAAGTCGTTGGCAGCTTTTACATTATGGTTAACAAAGTAGCTGGGTCCTCAACAGAGAAAAAAAACTGAGGAGGAGTTGAATATATTTTCTCAGATGTCAAATTACTTTCTTATAATCCTTGCCTGGAAGGATACTCGGTAGGGGGTTTGGTTACCCTAACTGCCTTCTCACACAAAAAATTATTTTTTATATGAAGAGAAGTTCAGTTTTTTATTCCCTAGTCTGAATTTCTCTAGCTAACAAAACATAACATTCTTGTTTATTATTAATTAAATAATTATTCATTAAATGAATAGGGGGCTATTTATTTGAAACTATAGTTTGGTGACCTATCATTTAACCAACAAGAAGAACATATTAACACAATAATAGCTAGAGTACAACAAGGATTAATAATAGACTGTGTCTCTTTGTTTGCCGGAGTCTTAGAGTTCTTATTTTTTGATAGAGTTGTATTGATGAGGAAACTGATAACAGGTAAGTGATTGGACTCTTCCTGGTGCTTACTGCTGCTTAGCAATAGAGCTGAGCCTAGAACTACAGTCACCTCAACTTCCAGATAATTTACATATTTGCTACAACTTAGCAGAAATCAACACTGCTGAGTAGGAAACACACTGAAATCATAAAATCTACTGCCCTTCCCTCATCTTTACATTGTTTCCTTTTGGCTTTTCAGGTGTTGCTGTGCTTTACTTACATCTCTATGATGTGTTCGGGGACCCTGCCTATCTACAGATGGCACATGGCTACGTAAAGCAAAGTCTGAACTGTTTGACCAAGCGTTCCATCACTTTTCTTTGTGGGGATGCAGGCCCCTTGGCAGCGGCCGCTGTGCTGTATCACAAGATGAACAATGAGAAGCAGGCGAATGATTATATCACACGGTAATCATGTTTCTGTGTGAGGATTATTATCTAGACATCATTATGCATTACTTCTGCATTAGCAAAAGAACATTCTAGTGAGTTTACTTTTCTCTCAGCAGATAAATCTTACTACTATAATTTGATCAGTTCTCTTATTCCTGTGTTGTGGTTAAGGAACAATCATTATAATCCCTATTTTATTGCAAGATGTAAGACACTGTCATGTTCCAAATCAAACATCAGTTCAGTTATATAAATGAGGTCAAAAGCCTAATCCAAGGTGCTATCCAAGATCAGTCATTTAAAGAAATGTGGTTCATTTCGTGTTGGTAGGCTGGGAGAGGCCTCCTAAGGGAGCACAAACTGATTCAAAACTGCCTTTCTTAGGACAATGACATGCAAATCCAGATTTTCATTTTTAATATAAATCATGGCAATATACTAGAAGCTTGTGAATTATGAAGGATTACTAAACTTTTGTACTATTAAATTACAATTGTTGCCTTATTAGAATTTATTGAGCACTTTTTCAGAATTCTACTAAGAAATCTGGCTGCTGTACAACTCTGCATGCATTGCTGTTAGGCTCCAGCTGTGCTTGCTAACACTAACATGCAAAGTTTGAACTCCAGCCACGTTTTAATCACTGATTGGCCCTCAGTCGACCACGGTTGTAATAGCATTATCATTATCAATTTAGTTTGTTGAGGTTCCCTTGGTTAATCTTATACTATGTGGTAGTGTATATCTCATCAACAGGCAAAGATATGACTGTGTTGTATTTAAAGAAGGAATCATCTACACCCTTATTGTTTAAATTCTCCCTCCTCCCCCAATTTTGTCCCATACTGTGATATTTTCTTATTATAGCTGACTTTTTCCACTGGAAATTGTAACAAGAGGACAGAATGTGTGGGCCAAAGAGTCTTTTGCTCTACCTGTAATGATTTGTGAGTCATTATATTGGATCATTCCATGAATTAAAATAACTTAGAATACCTTTTTTATACATGCCTATGCTGTACTACCAGAGGCTAGAAGTTTTATAGTGCAACTTAAAAACAAAAAGCACATTACTTAGTATGTCTAGAGGAAAAAACTAAACCTGTCACCAAGCTTGGCCAAAATGGCAGATAAAACAAAATAGTGATTTCCCCAAAAGTTTAATTAAAGGGTGTGTTCTTGACTTACATAAGACCAGGCAATACAAAACTGTACCATACTTACCTAAATTTGAAACACAGAAGCTACCTTTTTTTTCAGGATAACCAGTTTAAAGCCATTAGATACACATCTGCTTTAAAGGTCCTCAAGATAGTCTCTAAATGAGTCACTCTTAAGTACCATCAAATTAAATTATAGTGGTCCTAATATTTTACATGTAATGCCAACCTTTCCCAAACTATGTACAATCAAATGGTAATACTTTTCTGTGTGAGGAATGTTAATAAGTGTTCAATGAAAACAAGGTTTTGTTTGTTCACACAGATCGAGGTTTGTATTCAAACACTAAACAAAAATAAATACGCGTCTTTACTGGCTGCTCAGAGTCTTCAGTAGCTTATATATGCAGGGAAAAAACAGCAACCAGAGGAAGCAGCATTCACCAAGCTTACACTGACAGCCTTTTTTCTCGATGGCATCTTGAGGGCCTATTCTAAGAAACACTCTTGGGAAATGGTACCATATATCAGTATTGGTTATTTTAAATTAAAACACTCTTAAGAGTAAGCTAAGATTGTATTCTTTTTTTTTAATATCTCGGTAATAAAGGTGTTTTTGTTATTGATATCTTTTTTAGTTTTGTGACATTTCAACAATATTTTATTTATAGTCAGTAGGCTTGTGATGGTTAAAAATATAGATTGTAGATACATGATAGGAAATATGCTGTTGTGGCTGTAGCTTTGATTTTTCAAGTTTTTAGAGTTTATGGCAGAACAGAAAGAAAAAAAGAGAATGATTTGTAAATTATAGCGCTTGCTTTACCTTTCACATCTCCTCCCTTTTAAAGGAAAAATATGTAAGTCTTCTCATTTTAACTTTAGGAAATCCAAAGTTAATTGATATCATCAGTTATTCAATAAATCTATTTGTCTGTTTTACTTTTATTTTTTATTTTATTTTATTTTATTTTTTTGTCTTTTGTCTTTTTTCCGCGTCCGGCAACGGATCGCAACCCTCAGTGTTGCCCCCGTACCGGACCGGGGACCGGCAACGGGATTGCAAACCTCGGTGTTGCTCCCGCGCCCCGCTCAGCCAGTGAGTGGGAACTGGTCTGTATGTGGGATCCGAACCCTCGGGCGGGAGCGCCGCCGCGCTTCCCCAGCAGCGCACTATCCAGTGCGCCACCGGGCCGGCCCAGTCTGTTTTACTTTTTACCAACCTTCTTCCTCATTACATAGCTTGTTTTGAGATACCACAGACAGTCACGTTCTCTGTGTAATGTCTTTGTTGTGCTTCACTGCCGACATCACATTCCAGCTTACCTCTCCTGCGCTTCTTAATGTACATTAAGACCCAGTCCTTAGACAAAGAAACTGAAATCCGAAGAAGTCAGTGTTTCCCTAGGATAGACGTACTTACCTTGGTATCTTAGGTCTTCTGGAGGTATATAACACCCCCAAATTATACTCAGCCTGGAGAAACCATTTTCACTTCTTAACTTTTTCTTTTGGAGGAGTCTGTGACTCCTCAAAAGGAGTACATGTATGTGTTCATGTTCAAATTGTCCTGCAAATGGCTGGGGAGTGGTGGGGAGGACAGTACACAGTGCTTGTTCTTCCTACTGCTTGATAAACTCGTATATCATGTCCAGTTTGACCCGTTCTTCAACACAGAGATATTGATACCAGAACATGAATAGAGAGCATCACCCATTTTGTACCCAATTAGGTGACTAACTGACATATGTAGTGCTCTGGGGCCAGTACTTAGAATGATGAGGAAATTTGGCATTCTGTTCAGGAAAAGTATGACCTTTCTCCTTTGTAGTGTGATGTGTCAGAAAAGGATGGTTTTTTAAAGTTACACACCTTTTGATAATACAAGGCAAAAAAACTTTCCCCAGTATCACCCTGGAGAAATATTGCTAGCAGTGGAACAGAGCTATCTTTTTATGTGTCTTTATCCTTCCTTCAGTGACATTTCAGTGACTTGCTTATCTCTTCTGAAGATTGCTTGCTATTAATATCAACATATCCAAACAAATAAATGGAGCTGCAAGGTGTGCTTGTGGGTTTGAGAGTTTTTGGACACACATAAAATAACCATTACAGTTCATAAATGCTATCATATCTTAGTTTTATCTTGAGAATGTAGCACATAAACCGTGCAGTTACAAGTCCTACCTTTAGTAATCATCAGATCCAACTTATGAGTTTTAGTGATTTGAATTCAAATTCAGAAAAAAATGGAATACTTCCTTTGTTACCCTAAACTGTATTGTTTTATTGAGGTGCTCTGAAGCAATACATTATTTTCAAGTATTTGGAAGTTATTTGCTACCTACTTTGAATGTCCCAAATGCAAATGAGTTTGGCTTCAAAATAATTGGAATGCTAATTTTATATTGCCATCTAGTGGTAGTGTAAGTCGTTAACGTTGGAAAATGTAAAAATGGCGTTTTCTAGTACAGTGATCGAAACATTTTATTTTGGTAGGAATGTGATTGGAGTTAATGTAATGATTGTTCTGAGTAATACTTCCATTGAACAGTTTTTGTTTAAAAACTCACAGAAATTTCCCTTTTTGAATAGTTCTTTCAATCTCCTTTGGAAAAGATCAAAAGTGCTTTTTTTATATCTAAATTCTATACAATTTGATACATTTATATTAAAACTTGATAATGGGTTCTTATCAGAACTCTGAGACATGTGTTCTATTTACTACAATGGTTAAGTTTGTATCTAGTTAAGAGGTTTTATTTTCTATGGTCCAAACATACTGAGCTGCCGGTTCTAGCATGAGAAAAAAAGTAATATTTTTTTAAATAAATGTTTTTAAGTTCTCTTAAAAATTGTGTGCATAGGTACACATATATATGGTATTGAAGTAGAAAACAAAATGGCCCGTAAGTCTACCACCCACTTAGGCCTGTTGATGTTTTAAAAAGGTCAAACAAGGTACTGCACAAAAATGGAAAGGAACCTCTGACCTAACCACTGTAAGTTTATTGCCTGTATTTGTAGAAGGAGAAAAATGCATGATCCAGCATTTGCATATTTAACCAGTTTGCGATGCCTCAATTCATTGACGTATAATATGAAAAAGTGTAACTTTTTCAGGATCTGCAACTGTCCATGCTTTCCCAAACTCTCTTTCCTAGTGGAGAGTAAGTTCCCTAGAAGACTTTTTCATAACTTTTTCTGTCTTTGTTTCATAGCTGTCAGCTGCTTTCAGTCACAAAAATCATTTCATTCCAGTTATTAAAACTTGTGCTCTCTATTTTAAATGTTGTGTTCCCTTCCCCTTACCACAAGCCCCCGTGGAAGCGTGAGAAGGGGAATGGGGAGGGTGGTATTATTTTCTTTCACAAGTATCCTCCCCGTGGAGCTAGGACCTCGTCACTTTATGGGTGTATAGCCTGGTGGCAATAATTTCCAGGATTTTGTTTGCTTGGGTTTTTTTTAGTTTGTTCATAAATATTGGCGGCCTCCAGAGATTTGCAGTGGGGGCTGTGTACGCTTTCAGCTATACCCTTCCCACTGACTATGTTAAAATGAAGACACAAGCAGTTGCCCAATTCTGCCAAGTGTACATACATTTATTAGGAAGAAGATACACATATGTACCGCATTCGTGTAGCTCAGAGAAAGCCACATTAGCCTCAAGCCCTTCTTAGATTTTATTCACGAAAGGGTGGGAAAATCTGTACCATCTGTCAAACCTCCAGCCAGTGAAAAGCCGCTTTCTAACATTCCTTACTACACTTACGACAAATCCTCTGGTATACATTTTGGTAAAGTTATTTGAAGTGCTGAGTACCTCTGAATGTTGATTCCTGACTAGAGTACTTCAGATGTAACCAATCACCCTGGAGTGTGGGGGGAGGCATGATTTTTGTCACCTCAAATGCTAACTAACCATCCCTAGTGTATAAACTAAGGTTAGATGACATACGTACACAAGCATAGCGTACCATTCATAATTTACTTTAAAAGAAAATTTCCATACAGACAACAAGTGAGTCCATTTTTAAATCAAAAGGCACTATTCATTTTATAGATGAGAAATTTTAAGAACCAACATGAAATAGTACGTGTAGTTTCCTAAGCTACCTGATGACATTTGGTAGGGCTAATATCCTCTCGCTGACTAATCTTTTTCCAGCATTTCCCTGGCTCTTTATATTAATATTATTTTGTCACATTTTACCAAAAATGTAAATGTTTTAGCAACTTAAATGTGATCACATTGAATTTGTAGGCTAATTTAGGGATAATTGAGATACACTTTAAAAATATCGTGATAAAAATAGCAAGGACATTTTTTCCTACTAATTATATTTGCTTCCCCCTCCCCCACCAAACAAAAAGGAAAAAAAGTTAATTCTCAGAGTTCCAATTGCCAAATATGGTTGCTTTCTTAAGCTTATCTCCCTCTGTGATCTCCCCCTAATTTGTGGTTCACTGGGGCTTCCATTTTGTTCCTTTGGCAAGACAGCTAGGGCTTTGCTTCTGTTCCCTGCCCTGTGCTTCCCATGGGGCCAGGTGATATGAAGGAGAGAGAGAGAAGTAAAGCAGTGGGGGTTCACCCCACCTCCTGGGACCACAGCTCCTCAGAGCTGTGAGGAAGGTTTCCTCCCTCAGAGTTGAGGCTCATGTGGGCTCCTGTTACCTCCACTTCTGCTGCCAGGATGAGATTGCTTATGGCCTCTGGTGCGAGAGAACAGAGAAGAGAAGAAGGAAAATGAAGAAAAATGCAGGGTTTACCCACTTTCTTTGTTTGGAGTTCCCTTTCCTGTTCCTCCTGTGTCAGAACTAAAGAGCTTCTGGAGCTCTCTCAATCAGCCCCCTGGTGCTTGCTTCTACAGGAATACCAGAAGGGAAAAAAAACGTACATTCATCACTGGTTTGGTGGTATTTGGCATTCTGGTCTTCTTCCCCATTCTGCCTGTCATTATTTACTTTCCAGAGCTCACAAATAACTGCTTCGTGTATTCTGTGCAGGTTTTGGAGCTCTGTTTAGTGGGAGAGGCAGGGTGTGGAATGTGCTTCCTCTTTACCAAGAATCGGAACCAAAAATAACTTTTTTAAAAGGTGAACTGAGTCTGTCAATAGGAACCTAATAAATGATAATATATCTATTTAATGGTGTATTAGGCAACTGTTATAAAGAGTGAGACTACTCTATATGCTGATAGGGAATGGTTGTCAAGATGTATTGTCAAATAGCAAGCTGTAGAACAATATATTTATAAATATGTATATGTTTATGAGTACATAAAATAATTCTAGATATATACAAAAAAATTGGTAACAGTGTTTGTTTCTGAAAAGTACTAGAAGGCTAGGAGTCTGGGGGGACAGGAAGACTGATGGATACCTTTGTGCCATTTGTATGTATTTTTGATGGTGGCAGATCTGGCTGCTGTACAGACACTCCAAGTAGGCCTGGTGACACGTTAAGAAATATACTGAGGAAGGAGATAACTGGGGTACAGCAAGCATTTCATTCTATGGACACAGGTGGTCCTTTGAGTGTTGACCTAGCCCTTTCTCCAGGCTAAATGCTGTAATAACCAGCAATTCTTGGCTTCTTTGGCCCCAACTGCTAAAACAGTAGTCTTAAGGCATGCCTCTGTGAGGAACTGGGGAGGTGTTAGATAGCCTCAGCCATATACTTGCATTCCTTCACTCTGTGAGTTTCTTGTCAGTTCCATCATGAACTGAAGAAAAGAAATTCAATTAACTTTCATATATACAAGGGTACTTCAAAAAATTAGTCGAAAAGTAGAATTAAAAGATAATACGAATCTTTCCATGAACTTTTGAAGTACTCTTGTATGTATGATAGTCAGGGTTCAAAGATTAGATTATATATATAGTCTCTGTGTGTATGTGTATTTTTTAAATGTACTGTTTTTAAGTATATACCAACATTTAATCCTGATCCCTTTCAAATTATCTTAGGCTTGTCTTTTTATTCCTAGGCTAATTCACCTGAACAAGATTGATTCCCATGCTCCAAGTGAAATGCTCTATGGACGGATGGGCTACATCTATGCTCTTCTTTTTGTCAATAAGAACTTTGGAGTGGAAAAGATTCCTCAAAGCCATATTCAGCAGGTACCATGTTTTTGTGCTTTTTAGGAGTCTTTTTAGGATCCCACTTACTTCCTGTCTGCCTAAACTATTGTTTTTGTCTCTCCAGTTAGCACATCTCAAGTAGAAGGAAGATATATCTTGACCACTAAAGGTCAGGCACAGTCAGAGAACCAACAGCTTCACACTGAGCACTGTTAGGAACACCATAGGGAGTGACTCGGAGCAGAAGGCCCACCTGTTCCTTTTGAGAGCTTAGAGGCCTATTCAGAAGAAGATTAGGGCCAGATTTCACCACTTCTCCTTTTGAGCCTGGAAGAATTTATACTTTCCTTTGGCAGGCAGATTCTTGTAAGTTCTAGTGCAGAGTTCAAGATTCCCTCCATACCCTCTTCTTTCAGGCAGAATATAGTTGCATCCACTTCTCTGGTACAGAATGAAACTGTGCCCTTCCCTGGCCAAAAGATGATGTCTAATTTGTCATGTTCCCTGGCACCTTTTTTTATTTTATTTATTTATTTTTTTTGTCCTTTTTGAGACCAGCCGCACTGCGCTCAGCCAGTGAGCGCCCTGAGCGCACCAGTCATCCCCATATAGGATCCGAACCCGCGGTGGGAACGCTTCCGCACTCCCAGCGCCGCACTCTCCCGAGTGCGCCACGGGCTCGGCCCCTCTGGCACCTTTTAACAAAAAGTTCCTTACCACCACCAGGAAGGTTTGTATTCTGATTATCTTGTTTTTTTTGGTTTGTTTTCTCCCTGTAGATTTGTGAAACAGTTTTAACTTCTGGAGAAAACCTAGCTAGAAAGAGAAACTTCACAGCAAAGTCTCCACTGATGTATGAATGGTACCAGGAATATTATGTGGGGGCTGCTCATGGCCTGGCAGGAATTTATTACTTCCTGATGCAGGTAAGGGGTGATTATGGTGAGACTTCAAAATATGCTTCCTGACACTTATACTGTTTCGAGTAAGAAGACAGGTGCTTAGCTCTATTTTGTCACTCTGTCAACCAGTGCATCACCTTCCTTGTAATTACTTGACCTAGACAAGCAATGGTAACGTTTGCCAAGGTGCAGTTTAAAATGCATAAGCATAAAGGTGCTATTCTTTGAGATGACAATTGATTTGTAGATGACCATACTTGCCTACCTAGTGCCACTTGTGCACACTACAGTGTTTTGACATATAATTCTATATGAAGTGCCTTCTATTCTCTTCCAAAAAATTCTTGATTTAAGAATATTATTGCACATTATAAAGCACAACCTACTGAAACAAATTCCAGGAGTAAGAACAAAATCAATAGAAAACAAATGAACACACATTACCTAAGACTCGCTTAGAGACTAAGCTGAGGAGACTTTTCAATGGATTGTGTAACTTACCTGAAAAATAGCTGACTATGCTTGGCGAACAGTTCTTGGGATCTAGCACTATTGGTACACATCAGCCAAAATCAAACAAACCGAAGACAAACAGCAGCAAACATAATTTGGAGAGGAGGTCAAAAAGAACATCTCATGAGAGTGTCGTTCTAGCGGACTTATGAAGCTCTTCTTAAGGAGAAATTGGCACTTGTGAATAGGTATAAGAATTTATGGCAAAAGAAAATTGATTTCTAATGGCAGCAGAAGTACCCTCCTCACCTTCCCAAAACACAGTGTGGCATAAACAGAAGTGATTCATTAATATGTTCAACATGAGTGCTTGGATACACCTATTACCAGCTGATTGAGTAGCTGTCTGTAATAATACAACATCAGTGTCAGATATGGCCTCTACCTACAACTAAACAATGGCAACAGAGCTGAAAAACGCAAGGTTATTATTTCTTTTGAAAGCAAAGTCACTTTGAGTACTAGTGGCAATCAGAGACTAGCCATTATACTTATTCTGCACGTCTCAATTAGAAGTTTTAAAATTAGGGGTTTTGACAGTTTAGTCTTAAATTCCTTTATTTTTCTGGCACATTTCCTCATGGCTCTCTATTTCCAGTAGTGAATGTAGATTTTTAAAAGTTTTCAGGGAGGGAGAGTTCATGTCTTCTGAAGTTTCAAGGTGAGTTAGAATCATACATGTCAGAGACTAGACAGCCTCATTGACCTTTCATTGAAACAGATATTCAGGAGACATACTCTGCCTCCTTTTGTTAGCTGTAATAGGAAATCTGAAAATCCAAGTATTGATTTTTCCATTTGCAGGTTATTTTCTATTTTAAATTATTTAATTTTTAATCCTGAAAGCCTGTTCTATTAGGTACCTATGTATCTCAACATAAAATAAAATACTATTTTTAGGCCATGTTGGATAATTCCTACAAGTTTGAGTAGAATTCACTCTTTCTACTGTAGCACTTTAAACTGAGCTTGAGCACTATTCTTTGTGCAGAGTGGAATCTGTATGTCCCCTAAAGAATTCAGTGTACTTTCAGAATCTTGTGACGGTCGAATCATCAATATCACTTGTTCCTGCCACCACTGCCTCCTGCCTGTGCTTCACATGACTGCCCACCCCTCACCCCCACACACCCCACCTCCTTGCCTGGCAAAACAACACTTTGAATTTGTTGTTTGAAGAAGTGAGCAGTGCATTGCATTAAGAACAGGACCTAAAGTAGAAACTAAAAAATTGTATCAAAAATGGCAGCTCTTGTGCTCTATGTCAGTATGTCTTATAAATCTTGTACATTGTTGTATCAAAATAATTCTGCATATAGATCTGTCCCAAATTCTCTGCAGAAAAACTTGATCTATAGTCACACTGCAGTTTAGCATCTAGAGGCCAGGTCTCCTAGCTTGTTAGTATCCGCTTCTATCAGAAATATCACCTAACAGTTCTGTAAATGTAATAATGAAAGTCATCCTTGGCTTGCGTAGTTTGTTTGTGTCCTTTAAAGCATTCTTTAGGTGTTGAAATCTTTGAAAACTTTTTTTACACTCACATGCTCAAGCATTTGTACGTAGATAACAAATGTTGAAAAATAACATATACAAAAGGCCCAAGAGTTAACTTTAGCCTAATTTGAGTTTGTTCCATTATTTAAAATCTTAAAATGAAATCACAGAAGATTAAAATAAAGGCATCCAATAGGTGAAAAAATTGGATGGAATCCAAAACCTGCTAATGACCTTCCAGTTCCTTTTGGTCATGCTTTTTTTTTTTTCCTGATTTAAAACTCATACAGAGGCCTAGTAAGATTTGTTTGTTTCAGCAGAACTAATAATTCCCTTTCCTATTTTTAGCCCAGCCTTCAAGTAAGCCAACTGAAGTTACATAGTTTGGTCAAGCCCAGTGTAGACTATGTCTGCCATCTGAAATTCCCTTCCGGCAATTACCCTCCATGTGTGGATGATAACCGAGATCTGCTTGTCCATTGGTGCCATGGCGCCCCTGGGGTAATCTACATGCTCACCCAGGCCTATAAGGTACTGTGTATTTTCTCATTTTAGAAATAAATTGGAAAACATAACAAAAAAATTTATAATTTAAAATCAGTCTTATCATAATTCTTAGAGGAGCAATAAATAATTTATTGGACCTAAGGTCACGTTGCTAAATGGATTATAATCTATTCTCACAGTCCATCTCTACTATAGCAGACATTCTTTCACAGAATATGAGACTGACAGGTAGAGTAGCCAAGATCATAGCATCAGTGGCAGAGCCAAGGTAAGTATCTCAGAAGCTCAATTAAAAATAGAATACTTATGCATTGCTGGTGGGAATATAAAACTGTACAGCCACCATGAAAAACAGTTTGGCAGTACCTCAAAAAACTAAACATATAATTAACATATGATACAGTAATTCTACTCCCAAAAGAACTAAAAAAAAAAGATTCAAGTACACCAGTGGTCATAGCAGCATTATTCATAATAGCCAAAAGGTGCAAAACCATCAACAGATGAATGAATAAAGAAAATGTGGTATAAGCATGCAGTGGAATATTGTTCAGCCATAGAAAAGAATGAAATTCTGATATCTATTACAACATGCATGCACCTTGAAAACATATTAAGTGAAATAAGCTAGACACAAAAAGACAAATACTATATGACCCCACTTATGTGATGTTATGGTTAATATGAGGGATCTAGAATAGGCAAATTTATAGAGAAAGATAATAGAATAGAGGTTACCAGGGTCTGTGGGGGAAGGGGAAATGAGGGGTTATTGCTTAATGGGTACAAATTTTTGTTTGGATGATGGAAAAGTTTTGCAAATACACAGTGATGATAGTTATGCAACTTCATGCATGTTATTAACGCCACTGATTTGTATGCTTTAAAATGGTAAAAATTGTAACTTTTTATATTATGTATGTTTTATCACAGTAAAAAAATATATAAATATCACTCCTAAAAAGCATGTTATAGCAGAACTGCCAACAAGGAAGAAAAGATTTTTAATTGAGAAAAAAAAAATGGAAGTAAACCAAAATATCTATGACCATTGGTGCCAAATCAACAAATTACAAATCTGCAGACTATAAATAGGCACTAGCATCTCATAACTAAATAAGCTTTTAGAATATAATGTACATTTCAGAAAGTTGGATATAGTGGAAAAACTTTTAAAACTGCAATATTCTATTTTTAAAGACACTTAGCTTGCAATTAGGTATTAAAAATATCTACTCAATTTTCCCAAGTCTTTGATCAAGAGATAGGTGGCAGCAAAAGATTGCAAAGGTCTATCTAATTTTTCTGATAAAGTATAGTATTTTATCATCAATTTGCATATTAATAAGTAACAGTATTTTCTTCAGTATGTAAAAAACCTTTCTGAAAGTGAACAGCATCATGGTTAACAAAGACAGCATGTGTTCTTTGGAAAGTGTCTAATGCTATCTGCAAGTTGCACACTAAATAATGTGGCTTCATCAATGACACCCACATACACAAACACACGTGCACAGAAAACTTTGTACAGACAAACTAATGTCCAATTATTTAAAAAAAGCAAAGCTAGTCAATTTTAGTAATTTGTCACTACCAATGTAACACATCTCTCTATCAGTAAACCCCTTATCGTTTCTTGCCAAGCCACCTCCCTCTCTCTTTCCTTTCCTGGTTTCTCCTGCTTACTTATAAGGAAGGAATGTCAATAGAACTTTCCTTTATATCCCTTATAATAAAATGTATGTCCCTTGTATGCAGGTGTTCAAAGAGGAACAGTATCTCTGTGATGCCTATCAGTGTGCTGATGTGATCTGGCAATATGGGTTGCTGAAGAAGGGATATGGGCTGTGTCACGGCACTGCAGGAAACGCCTATGCCTTCCTGACCCTGTACAACCTCACACAGGATATGAAGTACCTGTATAGGGCCTGTAAGGTAGGAGTCAGAACCACCAAAAAGAAAACACCTCTTCCAGAAGCTTGTAGAAAGGGCTGTAGTTCATCTGATTTAATTAATTTATTTTTAAAACCATGAATCTGTAAATAACAAACACAGTTACTTAAGAAAAACCTTCAAAAGCCTTTCAATTGAATTAGCATTCTTTGAAAGGGACATAATCCTACTCAACAGCATTTGTAAAGAAAAAAAGATGTATAGTAATTTTGTTCCTTTCTGCCTTTGATAACCTTGCAGATACATGGCTCAGATGGCTCATTAAATTCTTCCCATGCCTCATACACTTTCAGACCACGTGTTTCTCTGCATTAATCCCTTTTCCCTGACTTGAAGACAGTTTTTGACTTTTCAGAGTACTTAGGAACAATCTCTGTCAACCTTTGGGGGGGGGGTCTCTGGAAGAAATCACTACAGTTATCTAACCTGGGTCTCATTTCAGTTTGCCGAATGGTGCTTAGATTATGGGGAACATGGATGCAGGACACCAGACACCCCCTTCTCCCTCTTTGAAGGTATTTTTCACACATTGCTTATTTGCCTTATGATATCAGTAGCTAGTTCTCTGCTTGGTAATTGATATATCTGAATTTGAGTTTTACCAACAAATTAATTTTATGGTTATTTCTTAAACTACTTATTTCCTAATGTGTCAAATCAATATTAAAACTCAATTGGCAAGTGTATTACCACAGACCTAAAACTAGCAGTCACAATGGTGGCTGCCATTTATGAGTCAGGCACATGCTGGGCATCTTGCAGATGCCGCCATAAATCATTTCCACTAAAACACATAGGCATTACTGTCCTCATGTCACAGATGAGGAGACTGAAGCTCAGACAGGTAAGTGTCCCACGGTGCCATGGTGAAGGAGTTCACATATGGTAAATGGCAGGGCTGTGACTTGAACTGTCTGGTTCCATTCTCTCTCCTGTCTTCCACCTTGTTAAAAAGGCTGAGCACCTCACTGGTGATCTGTAATGTTTGAACTGCAATGCATGTAAATATAGACAGATTCCCACTTTTAAATCATTGCTGTTAAAATCGTAAAGTTGTTGATTCTAAAAAATGGAGCCACACTATAAAATGGAGTCATTTGATGTAATAACTTTTGCCTCTTTCTCCTACTGTAGGAATGGCTGGAACAATATATTTCCTGGCTGACCTGCTGGTCCCCACAAAAGCCAGGTTCCCTGCATTTGAACTATAAAAGGAAAGCATGCCCCCTGCAACTCTCACTGCATGACCCTTTCTGTATATTCAAACCTGGGCTAAGTGCTTCCGTTGCTTTTCAAGGAAACATCAAGTGAAACTATGTACTTGATTTAGTTTTGTTTTTGTTTTTCCAGAATGCTTGTCTTTAGTTCAGTTCCTCTCCTTTTTTTTTTTTTCTTCTTTTTTAAAAAAATCATTTACTTATATTTAAAAGTATTCAAGGAAGCCTTTTAACTTTAATTTCAATTTCTTCCTAAAGGGAGGGTGGGTGGCATTTACAGTATTTTGAGATCATATACAGATATTTCAGAGCTGGGTGGAAATCTTATTTAAGTTTATGAATATAACCATCTGTTACTGTTCTAAAAATGTTTAAGAGAAACTAAATATAGATAAAGATAAATATATGACTATTATTGGATATTGCCCTTCACCTCTTCTCTTTAATATTTTTCCTTCAACAGGAGGGCAGACAGTTTAATGACATGCTCTTCTCTAGGTGGTTGGTTATGAAAGGGGACAAAAATATAACTTATATGCTTCTAGGAAAAAACTTGCAAGAGTTACAAACTAGACTCAGGACCTAAATACCATTTTTCAAATTCATGATGCCTGTTTGGACTAAAGATAAATATGCATTCAAATTTGCCTTTTTCTCAGTAAGCTAAGCCGTCAGGGCACCGTAAGCCAATATGATAATCAAAAACTTCTAAAATATGATGGTTGTTGTGAAACTTCTGATTTGAAAGATAGTTCAGGATAAGCTATTAATAACAGTTTGTTGTTTTCTCTAAAATAATTTAGTGTATTTTGAAATTACTTTTTAAACTTTGTTTCTTCTTTGGTATTTGTATAAGATCAGGAAGCTAATTTTCTGTTTGTGAATACATTGTGACCTAGGATTCCAGTGCACCCTGTTCAACTGACCTAAATTTCGACTTGTGTTCTACTTCCTTTGCAATGACTATGTTTTAGTGCTGCCTGTTTGGTATAAGCCATAAGATATTTTTCTTCCTTTCAATTTAAGTGAATATTGATCTTTTCGCTAAATAATATAGTATTCTACTCCTGTTTGAAAAAGGGACGTAAGGGGAATGCTATATAACCAGTAACTTGAACAAGAACACTGAGCTTTTGATAGATACACTGTTGGTTTAGAGGTATTATCCAGAGTTCATGCTTAGAACAAATGGATCTTTGCAAGGTTTAACAGTTCATCAGTTTCTGAGGTCACAGAATTGGGCTTTATATGGCAGATGAAGACTGACTTGACTACCTGGTGCTTCAGATTCTGTCCAAATGTTTTGACTTGTCAGCTCTACTCCTCCTCCTTCCATTGCTGCCTTTCCCAGGCCTTTGTCATCTCATTTTGACTGAACATTTTGCAGCTTTAAAAACACAGGGTCTAAGAATTTTAAATGTGCCAGTTTCATATCTCTCTTGGTCACAAAAGCATATTATTTTTATTGGAACTTTTTTTTTTTTTTTCCTTTTTGTCTTTTTTCGTGTCCGGCAGCGGACCGCAACCCTCAGTGTCACGCCCGCACCGGACCGGGACCGGCAACGGGATCACAACCCTCGGTGCTGTGCCCGCCCCTCGCTCAGCCAGTGAGCGGGAACCGGTCTGTATGTGGGATCCGAACCCTCGGTGGGAGCGCTGCCACACTCCCAAGCGGCACACTGTAGCAGTGCGCCACCGGCCGGCCCTTTATTGGAACTTTGAACCAAATTCCCACTGAGTATATTCTGGTTTCTGCAGATAGCACTCCCCTGTTATTTTCTGTTTTGCACCAAAATAGCTAATATTGGAAATTGACCCTTTAAAGGCTACTACAGTAGGAACTAAAAAGCAGTCCACTGCTCAATTCCTAGGATTAGCTTACTCCTTGTCAGGGACTATCTTGTGCCTCAGATTTCCACGGTGCCACTGGTAGACTATGCAAGCTATGTCTTCCTTGTGAAAGTTTCCATCAACAGCATTTACATTAAGAAGCAAAAGAGGAACACAGCAAAACGAATTTGCCCTTAGCTAGGTGTCCAGCTTGACAAAATAAAACCCTTTTGGTTTAGATAAAGGTCTTATTGTACTGTGCCTACACTTTTATCTACTGCAGTTACAAACCAGGGAAAAAGAACAAAACACACTTTGTCCGAGCAAAAGGAAACGGAATCACAGTACTTCTCCAAGCTTCTTGATTGATTTAACCCCAAGAAGACTTTGGCAGGGAGAGCACTTTGAATAAGAATCTTGTTAGTATTTGGATTACAGTGTAGCTGCTGTCATCCATTAACAAATTCATCAACACAAACACAATTCAGGTTGTGCATTTTTTTAGCTTATTAAGACTATTATTAAACTGGCAGGATTTTATATTTGTGCCATCATTTGCTTTACTTACGCTTAAGAGCTAAAAAAGTTTTGATGGAATTTTAAACTCAGACAAAGGCAACAAAGCTAAGACCAATACCCTAACACCATTTCAGTGGTGACTGAAAGAAACTTTACACTTGCTTTCTTAGTTTTAAGAGGAAGGGCATTGTTGTTTCAGTTCTATTTCTGTTACTTTTTTCCCTCAGATGTTTTTTTCTTGGTTTAAAAAAAAAAAAAAAAACCTTCCCAAAAGTTGCTGCCCAGAAAACTCAATAGTTATCTCAAATTTCTACACAAGGACTAGATAGCAAAACCCTCAAAACTTGTCAAGCAGTGTTCATATATCCTGTCATATGTTTCTGTTCATGTAGTGAGGAGAAATTGCAACTGTCAACTTTCCATCATGTAAAAAATGCTAACATTATAATAACCAATCCCATAGATCCTGGCCTTTATGCTCACCTGATGTGTTTAGTCCTTAGAGTCGTTTGGCTCCTTTTGCATCTTTGATGTCTCTTCCAATTATTTGCTATCAATATTTGGTACCAAAGGCTTTGTTAAAGCCTTCATGGTAGGTCAAGTTTTGGGTAAATGTGGAGCTAAGGTCATTTTTTCTCCTTATTACCACTTCCCTACATCAGTGAATTGAGAGACATACTCGGTTCTAATGTCCTCAGGTTAATTTGTGTCTTATCTTATGATGCCCTGCCTTCTACTGGCTGATTTTGAAATATAAAATATGAAGAGTGAATATTTACTCATGCACTCCTTTGGCCCCTAGAACTCATCTGTAGTCCTTTATTACTTATACTGAATTCTGATTCCATTTCTGCTTCTCCGAAACAGGTCAGAGCCCTCTGCTTCTGTATTTTCTATACTGTTGAGATGTAGAACTGTTTCTCTCCTATAGGTATAAAACAAAGTGTTTAGGATATTCAGGAAACCCTCTTGTCATTAGGAGGGTTGGGATCATAATGTATTTCTATGTTCTGTAAAGGATTTGACTTACTGGTTCTCAATAAAATTTTATTAGGACTATGTGTTGTCGTGTGCTTTTTGTTTGCTTCAGTTTAAACTTGAGAAATACTTTCCTCCAGTGTTAAATGATGGCTTTTTCTCTATGCACTCATTCCGTAGTTTTTTCCTGACTTTTTCTTCATTGTTTGGTTGAACAAGATTTGCACTACTTTCTGAAAATAGAGGTTTATAAGAGGAAAATATTTATAAATCATTATGGAATTAGGAGGAATCCACTAATCATCTCATACATGTGAGAATCTACCCTGTGGTGAATAACTAAAGGCCTAGTTCTAGAAATTGATTCCCTGCTGACCAATTCTGAAAGGAACTCTGAATAGAGAGGGAGATTAAATGAAGCATAATTATAAAATATATATGCAAAGGTTGGAAAGAAGCTCTGCTGAATCATCTGGGATGACTTTGTAGCACTACTTCTCATGACACAGCTAGTGTCACTTAGCATAACAGAGATTTGCCAAATTATAAAATACTTGTTTTCATCTCTAAGTTACATTTTGTCCTCTGGTACTCATGATTAAAGTGCCCTTTATACCCCTGGTCTATTGATTGAATGACTCATAATACTGAGGACAAAGCAGAATTATTTTTTATGTCTCTCCTTTGAATGAAGTAAAGGAGGTATGGTGATATTAAGTGTTCAGATGCAGGCAATGAGGCTTAGAGAAGACAGTGCCTTGCAGAGGTCAGACGGCTCCAAAGTGATGCTCGGAGACTTCCCACTAACTCCTACAAGATTAATTTCAATTGGTAAGCCCAGCTAGCACTGTTCTCTAGTTTACCGTTCCCAGGCTCATCTTCCTACCTTAAGAAAAGTAATGACAAGCACATTAAATTGCACCACAGTTGTAACCTCGTAAACAAACAAAATGAAGTAATTAGTCTCTTGTGACTTACCAATAGTAGTTTGATTTTTTCCTAACTTTGCATTAGGAAAGACCTTTGCCTCTATCTCCTCATACTGTCTGAATAGAAGAAAATAATTTCTATGTCACTTCTTTTTCCCAGATAGGCCCCACTGTGGATTCAATGTCCTTAAAAATCTCATGTATTTTTTATTCTTATAAATAAGCATCACTTAAACTGAGAACAACCTACAAATCAGTCCTCTGAAAATTTGCTTTCTCATTCTGTTTCCCATCCAAACTTGCCCTCTTCCTTTTACAGCTGTGGGTCAATTAACAAAGCAAGAGAACACTGGCTTTTTTACAATGGAAAATATGTTGGCTTCATTGGTCCCATTATGTAAACTGTCCAAATACTGTTTTCCAGAAGCCCTGTGCTAGTGCATCCTCAGGGACTTACGTGACAATTTCATGAGTAATGGGAGAAAGCAGCAAACACAGTAAGCCAAGAGGTGAAATAATGAGGACTGAGAAATGGATATAGCAAGGCTGCTGCTTATAGCCAACTAGTGTAATTTCACAGTTCTACATTATGTTAACTTTTCATCCACATGCAAATTACAACCATGGTGGCATTAAATCTGCAGCTAATGTTCTATCACTCTACAAATAAATGTTAGAGAAAGCATTTGTAGGCACTTAGTCATTTTGCAGGGAAAGACAGGACTCTTGACAAATCAGTTTATAAAGTAGTGTCACAATCGCCTAATTTCTCTTCTCTGATGAAGCTGGGATATTAGGAAAGATATTTGTAACCTGAAAAATACTGATGTGGTTCACTGTGAAAGTTGAT